TGCAGAAACAAACTCACGTACACATCCCTATACGTTCTCAGCACAGCCCATTGAGGTTATTAGGATGTTTCAAAAGATAGAAATTTAAGCGGACCTACCATAGTAGAGGACACGCCGGCTCACATACCATACACCATGCACATCGCACGGGGATACCCACAAAAATATATACGGCTATCCCCTTTTAATTTTCATCTAACAAAACAAAGAAAATGAAAACTAACAGTTTCATTCTTCAGTTACCAAGACTTTAGCTCACTTTGCAACACTGCTTGAAATCAACCTAGGGCCCAACCCAACCCAGTTTTGTCCAGTCCCTTCAACTCCTTGGAAACTTTCGACGCCATGTCATCAGACGGTACAAATTAGAAACGTGTTGTTTATTGATGCATACTACATGATGTTTATCGATCTTGGAAACATCTGAATCATCTCACAAGTCGTCAAGAATTATTTTCAACAGAGGCATTCATTGCATTTCTATACAAATTAAAAAGTAAATGCAGCTGGATGTTTTGATTCTGTTGGAGAGAAAGTACAAACAACATTTCTTTAAACTCAAATTTCGTGTTACGACTGCCAAAAGCGTTTCCTAACTTAAACGTTTTTGGTGAAGTACTCGAAAGCATACCGTGTGGCCTATGACCCAATTAATATGACTTACCGCTAAGACATTCAGCTTGAACTCAACACTGGAAGGTAGCTTTTAAACCTCAACGTACATGTACGTGCGGCAAGTAAAAGTGTACGGGGACACATAAGACCTTTCAAAACTTCCGGCCAAAAGCAACGCATGTTCTGCGTGAAAAGGCTTCCGTGTCGTGCAGAACTGCGGCATCAGTCGGAGCGTGCATGTACATGTACATGTACATGTATATCGTACGGTGTCCTGTGCATGGATGACGTTACAGGAGCGCCAGGTGACCTTGCTCAGTACACATGCGAGAAAAAAGGTAGCGACGGGGAAAACACTTCAATTTTCCAGCAACAGCTGTTGGCGTCATATGCGGTCGTAATTTTCCTTTACTTCTGATCACGGGTTTTGCTCGAAATCATAGTCTCCATTCAAGGCCGTAGGCGTGTGGGACTAGCCTTATAAACTTTAACGGTGGCAAAACCTCACTCATATTTGCAAATCACATCCAAGCCTCCTCTTGCAGTCAATTTTTTTTTTAGATTTAATCTTTCTTGAAAACGTTACTTGTAGCCCCTTTTTAGTTTGAGGCTGTGTTAAGCCTTAAAGTCTTGTTGTGCCTAAGTTCTTTGGAGTGGAACGAACTGTTGACCACCATTCATGAAGTAAAAGGCTTTGGAAACCATTCACTTATAACGGCTAGTTGTATAATGGGTGTACATTCGTAAGTTTAATCACTGTCAACTTATTTATTTCCATTTGTTTAGCATATGTCTAATCCTAATTGAAAACTAATGAAGAAGAAAATTGTTTACTTATTGTATTGAGGAAGCTATAGATTCCTCTTTAATTAACATAAACTGGGTAGTATTCATTCGGAATCTAGTATCGAATTGTTTTTGTTTGTTTGTTGGGTTGTTTGTTTTTTGGTAATTACATGGCTGTACGAGGACATACTTTCAAATGGCCAGTCAAAGTTTGATAAAAATAGCCTTTACGTCACTTGGAAGCTTGTTGAAATGTCGGGCTCCACATCCAGAGCCGGATTACAGCCTTATTCAGGCCGCGGATTTTCTCCCAAAATTGCCACACCACTGTCACCCAGTGCCACCCACATGGACACGCTAGATCCACGTCTGAAGTCGGAGGTCTGGAGACTGAGGAACAGGCATCAATCAACTGCACTCGGCGATTTGTGGCTCATTGCGAAAAGTTACTTCAAGGGTCACTTTGAAATTGTTCTCAATTTGTTTGGTTATCTCCCTCCGAAATAGAAGTTTGGCCTTTCCCGTCTAGGCGTGATTTCAGAAATAGAGCTCGTCACTGTTTGCAATTCACTTAGAGCACAAATTTGACTTACTTACTGTTGACCTTCACCATCTGGCTGCTCTGGCATCTAAACGCTCGAATTCCCCTTAGGAATTGCAAATGCCTTTAAGAATTTGACCTTGGCACTCGCAAATAATAGACTGTTCTCATTTTCCTGGTTCGACTAAAAAAAAGTGTTAAAATAAGTACTAAGCGATACCAGCGCTCGGCTAAAGCGTGAAACTTAACACGGTTATAGTAAATTAAGAGTAGCACATGCACTCCATCACCACTTAAGCTTGATGTGTACATTACTTAGCAAGTTCTTCTTGGGGCTTGTCTGTTTAAAGATACCAACTTGAAGTGAAGCTGCAGTGATTTTTTTCTGAAACGCAATTTTTCTGCATTTTGGTACTCTTCTGCAATTTATGAAAACTCTTTTATAATCCTAAATTAGATTACGTGTATTGAAACTTTTTAAATACTAAAATTACCCATGCCCTCTAGGACAACTGAGCAAGCTGTTCCTCTTGTGTCATCCAGCTTGAGGAAAAAAAAGTTTAATGCACAGATTTTTCTGTTCAAATTGTGAACCCATAATTTACTTACTGAAAAGATTTCTAAGAAAAGAGGTTTAATGCTTCCTTTTTGTTGTGCACATAAAAAACAAATCAGCGAAGTGCGGAGACTCAGTCCTGCGAAAACTACAAAAGTGCAGGATCTTTTTCACACAAACCAGTGTAACATTGAAGCATTCTTCATGGGATGACAGCCCAGTTTTCCTCATGAATATGGAAACTAGTCATTAGCATAAACCCAACTGGGCAGTAAATTACTGTCTGGAATAGTGAAGCGAAATTTGAAACTTATGTTAAGTGATATGCATAGGTGCGTTTTAAAGGTTTTATTAAAACAAACTTATCACAGTTTCCCTTTTAGTGGACATTTATCGCTTTTCTTGAGCAAAAGCAAGATTCATCTCCACAATGCGAACTTTCAACTAATAAAACTATTTTCAAGTTTTGTTTGCTTTGGAGGGGTGTGCTAGAGTTTTTCGTGGGGGGTATTGTTTTGCCCTTTTAAGCCGACTTTTTTGGAATTCTTCATTGTTTTGCTTATCGTTTGTTTTATAGTGCGACTACTATTACTGTCTGTATCCCAACTCCATATACTATGTAATCGGCACGCAAACTGGCCGGGCCATGATAAACTGTTTATTAGCTGTGGTGGTTATGAACATTGAAATTGATGACATGCGCATGGACTTTTGTCATGAACCTAAACAAATCACTGTGTAGTACATGGCGGTTCTCAGACACCTTAACATCAAACACTGCAAAAATAAAATCAGCACTTTTTGGTTTTATCAGATGACCACGCCATAGGGTGTTTCTTTAAAACCGCTGAAGTTACTTTACACACCTATAAGTGTTCCAATGTATAGGTGTGTCATATATAGTGTGGACCTCTGCACTAAAGGTCCACATAATGCAGGGTACGATGCGTTGTGTGGACTAGTACCTGCACGTGCGCACACGTCCACACAATGTTTCTCCACTCTGAAAAACAGTTTCACAGGCATTTTGGGGTCAAGGTGACAAAACGAAGAGGAACAGACCAAGAAATCATCATCAGAAATCTAGCTCAAAGGAGTTATCCTAGTGGGAGACATTTACCATAGCCACAGGGGAACAAAGGAATGTTCACACTTTGTATGAAAAAAACAAGTGTGTGTGCACTGTAGAGTGTTAAAAGTAACACCAAATAACACCACAATTTTGAATACCAGTTAAAAGTGTTGGTGTGACTGCACCGGGGGTGTTGAACTTCACACGCAAGTTTTTGCAGTGATAGTTGTCGATTAGTGGCGCTGTTCAATCTACAGCTTTAAATTACTTACGTCATATATGGAAATCTATATTATTCATTGAATATCAATTAGAGGGCTTAAGTTTTCCTTGGTGTATTTGGAAATTTGTTGCAAAAAAGAAAAATGGAGAAAGCAAAATTGATAACTCAGTGCGGACTTTATACTTACAAGTAGTCCTTGGTTTTATAGTATCGTTAAATTCAGGTCACAGCAGGAAGACTTCAAAGAGTGATAAGTGATAAGTTTTCTCAAATGTTCGAAGAGATCCAAAGATAGATTACTAGTTGAGGACCTCCTGCAGCCGTTTTTTACGAAGCACACAGATGCATTGGAAGGTTGACGTGATTGTCACAGGTTCTAACTTTACGCCCCCTTATTTCAACGCAGTCTTACCACAATAAAAACCAGTGTGACAACTTTACGGTCGGTGACCAGAATTGACAGATTCTGCAAAGGGTCGACCGATGGTACAGCACTAGGACCAAAGGGGGGTGCACAGTTTTTGCATGTTGTGTTGATACCGACACCCACGCGCTCTTGTTACCTCAATCCGACATAATGCACCAATGACACTTGACCTTATTTCACTCCAACATCCTCAGGCCAAGAATAAATAGAACATTATCGAACATTAAGTCACCCAGGAGAAAAACTTCACAACCTGTTATACGAGTACTGGGTGTTTTCAAACTTTCAAAACCACAATGAAATAAGCCGGAACTAAATAGCCACATGCTCTGTACTTAAGAAAATTTATTCCGCTAGTGCAACAACATATAGCAAGTTAGCCGTACATTCAAATACAATGTTTCTGTGTAAAACTGCCACGTGTGCAGGTCTGCATTGGTTCAAAAGCAATTCCATCAGTTTTCCAGAGAGTGAGAAATATTTTTCTTGGTTTGTACTGCACTGCTATTACCAGTGGTTCATTTTTTTATCAATTAGAAAAATCCTTTGTTTTATTACTTTTGTTTTCGTCATCTTTAGATCACGTTACCCAGATAATGTTGCAATTGATATCAGTGTCCATTTCATTATACTTGGGAACTTATTAGTAAGAAAAAAACAGAAAAAAACCAAAAGACAGCCTTTGCAGAGGAATTGAAAAACGGGTGCTGAACTGTCTATTGAGTATACTGACGCAACGTGCACGTATAGATCTCAGTAAAATTAATGTCCTTTAAAATAAAAACAAGGAAGAGAAAAAGACAGAAGAGGGGAAGTAATCCAGGAGCCAATACAGAAATCGGTAAATTACTTGCAGGTAATATGGGACTATTGCTCTCAGTGGTGTCAGATTTGATAATTTAATACCAAGACATTGTTCTTAAGGTAAGTCTTTCAAGTCCTCTTTTTTTTAATACATGTCATGCAAATGTGCGTAAGCAGAGCTGTTAATAGGGAGTTGCGACATGATTTTATCAGTTGTTAGAACCAAAATGGTGCATTAAGCATCAGTAAGCATGGACAATTAGCGCACAATAGCTGCATGCTGCCCACAAAATGGGCTGTAGTGAATCTGACACTTATTTTTTTATTTTTTTTCATCATAATAATACGGTTCTATATTCTTTTGTCATGCCTTGAAAAGAGGGGAAAACTACGGCGAGTGTATAAACGCATATCCATCAGCCCAAGTGTGTTAGAAAAAAAATCTCCTTACATCAGCCCGTGTTCCAAAATATCACAGTCGGCAGGTTGAGGGATTCCATCCCCAAGTTGTAGATTTGAATCTACGCCCTTGTGTCCCATCAATAGCAAGTCAACCCTAAAAGAGTCGGGGCAGAATGGACCCCAAACCGACTTTTTTTCCGATATCGTGACATGACTTTTTTTCAGGAGCCGAAGATTGAGAAGACCCCACCCCCCACCCCAAACTCTTTGCGGGCATTTTGACACCATGTATATGAAAATCGAGCGTAAAGTTTTCGCTTAGCACCAATTTTTGTGAGATAAGTGGTCATACAGCCAACTTTTGCTGCGCTCAATGCACACGGGCTGACGTGTGTGGCCTTGAACTCCAAACAACCGTAATAAACCATACATCAGATTGAGTTTTAACTCCACATTCAAACTAATAAGGAGTGTTTTATCTGCGTGCCAAGTTTTTAAAAAGTCGGGAATGGGACAGCCGGGTCCTGGGGCCAGACAGTCCTACATTACCCGGCTCTTTTAGGGTTAAATCCACGAGCTTACACCACTACTTCATATTAGAATAAAAGCAGCGCTTAAAACATTAAAGATGTTATCATCAAACTTTTTAGGCGGCAATCTTGTTAGTGTTACTTTACAACAGCAATGAATGTAAAAGACACTTCAGCCAAAATTCAGTCAAGCGCTATCTAGGAGTACGGCGGTACCTCTACCCGTTTCAATATTTTTCTAACAAGTGTACTCCCAAAAAACTGGGGACTGGCCACTCCTGAATCCCCAGTCGTTGGTCACAACCGCCGTCGCGGTGGCACTGGTGGTTTGGCTTGAGCTGGTCACGATGCCGACATGGCCCCCCAAAGCGGCCACGTTACCGATACCGCCACTGCCACTTGTCCAGCAACTGCTGCTTGTCAGATAGTTGGAGTTGGAGTTGGCCCACTCATTAGCCCCGATCGGGGACCAGGTCCACCAGTGCCTGTGACAGCAGATCGTTATTGGACATTCATTTGTTAGTTTTCTCAGTATTCACCCTGTTCCTTTCTGGCAAAATGGCTATACTTCTATACCGAATATTGTACATGTATTTTAATTTGCTCATAATGGTCATGTAACCAGGCGATATAACGCATTATTACCCTGATTCTCGCGCAGTCTCACATCTTAATAATCTATACATATGGACTAGCAATGGGTTCACTAATGCACATATATTGGCTCCAAGGGACCGTGAGTGAGCAAAAGAGGATCTTTTTTCCCCTTCGGCTGAAAATAAGACCCTCTTTTGCCAAGGATCATTAAATGATCGGTGCATGTGCTAGTTCACAGGTCCGGGAGAGACTTCAGCTGTTTTGGTAAGGGGATATTTGCGAAGAAATAAGATGGTGGTACGACAGGACGATTGCGGACTGCTGTGAGGTGGGATATGATGTTTTTAACACCCTCGGCAGTGCACAGCACTCACCTCTGGCGCTGTGAGTATCCTCGCGTGTTAATTCATTATATCTCACATTGAAACAGTCAATAACAATTGTTGAATGTCTAAGCCAAGGATGGACACTTAAACTTCCTTAATAATGGTTTCGTCGTGCGAATAGCACGGACTTTGCGCGACAAGGCTCAATGAGCCGGGTCGCTTGGGTGCGGCCGCGATGATAGGTTTGCCTTTGCGCCCCTGTATCCTTGTCCAAATCACTGGCTTTAAATTGCACATGACACTATGGGAAGTGGCTATACAGCCAGTATTGCAGATTTCCAGATGCAGCCAAGTTATTCGGTCATGGCGTACTGAAATTTTCGGAATGTTAGAATATTTAACTGGCTAATTAACATACAGAGCAACGTTCATTTCTGCATGTGTAACCTAGCATTATTTGAGCCTTTGTCCCTCGCGCCAGACGTAAATCTAGTTTACGAGGGTCAGTGGCCTCATTTACCTATTCAAGGGTCTGTTTTTTTTTTTTTTTTTTTTTTTTGGTACAAGTAGTGAGATGTTTGGAAAAAACAACTTTCAGCAAACTCGCAGTGTGAATTATGGACAAACCCCCAAACATTCCAACACAATATTTGGAAAGCCAAACCAAAGCAACAGAAAACCAAACAGAAATCAAAATAAAACAAAGCATAAAACGAATCGAACCAAAAAGGAGAAACCAAAGGAAGCTATCCGAGCATCTTGAAACTAAAAGGCAAAAGAGAGAAACATTCACTCTCGAAAAGAGTATAAGTCCCTAATGGTATCCACCACAAGAGAGTGAAAAGCGCTCATAAAGCGGAGCAATATGAAGGGCAACTCTTTCTGAGATAGTAGGTTTCACTCTTTTGAGTGAATGTTGCACTGTTATGGAGTGGGTGTTATAAGAGACTTACTCTGAGAGTGAATGTCAAGTTCATTCTTTTGCACTTAGAGAGTATTTTTTTCGTGGACAGAATAGTAAGGTTTGAAAGTCTGATCGTTTTTAAAGGTTTGATCCCTCCTTATTCAGACATTTCTGAACCGCGGAATGCAGACAAGGACTCGGAGTGTTTAACTCTAATAAACAGATATCAAAAGAATTCCTCAATACATATTTGTAATAAAACAGACCCCACAAAATGTAAGATAAAAGAAAATGAAACAAGAGCAGTGACTTATACCTACCGTTGAGGGACGCTGGCCCCGGCCTCTTCAAGGACAGTTGCTACGAAGATGTTGCATTTATTTGTGTTTGTTCCAGGCCACGTCGAAGATGTAAGCGCCCAACGAGTGCTCCCCACGTACCCCAGGGCAACGTTTGCAATGCTTTGACCGGTGACTGCTTCAGCCTTGTGCAGCTGCAATGAAATCGTGTCAACGGGTCCTAATCATTTTCAAACCAATACTTGAGTTGATCTTGTGGTTGGTGTATAATCGGTTACTGATGAAATGTTCCATCGGTTTGTCTGAAAGGCAGTTAACCACTTTTTAGCCTTTTTCGATTACTAAAAAAGTGGTTCCCCTGGAAAAAAAATCATGGTATTGCCTGCTCCCAGGAACCATGACAACTTTGTGTCTTGTTTTCATGCCAGAATTATTGAGGGAAACAGCGACTTCTGCACAAAGGGCTTTTATTCAGGCCTTTCATATTTCAAAACGTCCTCTTTCTGGACGTTTGGATTTGTGTCTGCAGCCCCCAAACATGGAAGAGTAACTTCAAATTCAACTTCCAAAGAAAAACATAAGACCGAGTGATTACTGAAAATTATAGCGTAAAAGTCGCAAGACTTACGTAGGCAAAGGCTCCAAGAAGTACCAAAAGTACAGCGATGTATTTCATGGTGCAATATGCAGTTGATTCTGAGGACTGGATGGCGCACTGGACAGTCACAGAGACGTGAATATTTCATGTTAAGTTTTCTTCCGGCTTAAATAGCTGTGGGATCGAATGGATTTATTGTTTCTAGGAACAATGTGAGCTGCGTGAGTCACGGGGTTGGGCAGGTTGCCAATATGTTCCAGCCTTATTGGAAACTACGGAAACGTATTGCTGCCAACGCAAAAAAAATGTTATCTCGTTTAAACAACATCCTAACTACTTAACTACGACTACAAACTACTTAACTATCTCATTAATAACTAAGTCGTTGAAAGGAGATAATAAGTTGTTTAAAGCAGTTGAAATACTTCTTGCGTTGGCAGCAATACGCTTCCTTAGAAAACAGTATCAAGGGATTTGAAAACTTGTTTGTTCCCGGACTTGATGTATCCGGAACAAGACCCAAGCTACAGTAGGATTGATTTTACACATGGGCAGTCAGTGCCACGTGAGCGAAACACATTTTTTTGAAAGGCTAGCCGAGTGGCCTATTGCTACGTGTAAGTTGAAGAGGTATAAGTGTTGTACAATTCTACGGTCAACATAACGTCAGAATTGGTTTCGGTACCGTCGCCTTCACGTTAGCTTTATGACTGTGCATTTCCTGTTTATAATGATTATGAATCCACATGGTGGCTTTTTCTCTATCATTGCCTCAATGTTAACTCAACTTTGAAGTTTTTAGCTCAGTTAAAAGTCGTATATTGCGACCTGTGTATGTCACTGACCCAAATATTACACTGCTTTTCACAAGCGGGTTTATCAATTCAGGGAAAAAGCCTGAGAAGTCCCGGGGACCGAAGGCGGATATGGGAAACCCCCTAACGGTACCCTAAAAAAACCCTGTGGAGTAGGATTAGAACTTGGTGAGCACATGGGATTATTTTTCACGGTGCAATATGACTTCAAGCGATCTTAATTCGTGACCGGGAAAGTTTAGTCATTGTACACTGCAGTATGATAGGCTTTAGTGTTAAGCCTATGCACATTTTTTTAATTTAAAATAACTCTTTCAGTGTGACGATCAATGTGATTTAATTATTGAAAAATCTCATGAAAGATTTTTTTAAATGGAATTAAACTGTTCCTTAAACTTCGAAATTACAAAGAAAGTTTATCTCTGATTTTCATTCATGCCTATGTAAGATTTTCACTAGATTTAGCCAGGAAACTAGTCATCAAAATCCCCGATCTTTGTTCTCTGTTTATGTAGCCTAACATCCACTGAGTATGTTGAAGTATCTCGTCATGTTAAATTTTCGATTTGGACTGTCGCAAAAACCTTTTTCTTGCAAAAATGCTTTAAGATACAAGTTTTCAAACACCAGTAAACCGAATGTAATAAAACAATTCAAGGACAACCTAATAACGTAAACACATTGTTGCCTGTTCTAAAAAGAAAAGGTTACAATTGAAGTAAAGAAATTTTAGACCGTTGTGAATGACGTCATCGTGTACAATGCGTTTTGGCATCCCAATAGTTAATGTACACGTAAATCCCTAATAGTGTCCAGTTCATGACCATTTCCGCGTTTGCATAGGAGGAAACAGCCAGAGTGATAGACACTTCCATAACACAACTAAGACTTACGACTATCCCTAAGTGTAGCTGCATTGAATTTCTTTAATATGCGTTGAAATGCACACTTATAAACATATACAATTATCCATGCTTTCTGGGACAACTGATGCCTCCGTTCCTGTGATGTCACTTAGGGAAGGCACAGTTCACCCCGTAGGTTTTTCTGTTCAATACTGAACATGCCCTCAATCGCTGATTGGGCAGTCGCCGTACAAGTACCAGAATGTCTCAGTTAATGCAAACCAGACCAGAGTCATGGGCGTAGCCAGACGGGGGGGGGGCTATCTCCATTGGGTCATACCTAATCAGACCGTCTAAGGTATATTTCACGCACACTGGTTATTATTACCCTCGAGTGTTTCAGAAATTCTCATCTTGAACTGGCCGTGTTCAAACCAGCCCTTGTTGGCTGACCGTTCATGCATTGTCTCTCCCCCTGCGTAGCCTTTTTCTTTGCCTTGCTTCGCCCTGCCGTTGCTTTGCTTTGGTTTTTGTAATCATCCCGAGGAAGATCGAAATTCAGACACAATGCTCGTGGAATAAATTGCTCAAAACCATCTATGCTCTAAAACTGCACTTTCGACATTGGAACCGGCAGTTTGCCAAATTGATTTGGCGACAGAGATGTTTTTATACATAACGAGGAAGTCTGGCAAATTTATTCTATTCTCTAAAACTGCACTTTCAACTTTGGAACCGGCAGTTTGCCAAATTGATGTGGCGACAGAGATGTTTTTTATACGAAGCAAGGAAGTTTGGCAAATTTATTCTATTCTCTAAAACTGCACTTTCAACTTTGGAACCGGCAGTTTGCCAAATTGATGTGATGACAGAGATGTTTTTATACATACCGAGGAAGTCTGGCAGATTTTCAAATTCTCCACTCCAACAAGAGAACAACGTCAACGGACCCCAAAGCCCGCACACCAATCGCAGAATCCCCAAGAAAAACAACACCCCCTCTCAGTGATAACCAAAGGGTAAAAAAAGCAACGACAAATTAAATTTCTACTCTTCTTTTTGTAACATTTCATATCCCAAACGGTGACAGTCCGATATTCCAAACGCTCGATAGTTCAAAGGGTCGTTAATTCAATGTTTCGATAGTTTAAGGGTTCGTTTAATAGTCCGAAGGGTCATTTCGCAAGGTTTGTTGATTCAAAGGCTCATATAGTCCACACGTTCGTCAGGCCAACGGTTCGTTAGCACGAAAGCTCAATATTCTGAAGGGTCCGTCAGTCCGGATATACCATAAGGTTAAATATTAGCTCGAAGATTCTACAGTCCGAATCAACAATAAAGTTTGTCAGTCCAAATTGACATTAAAGTTGGATATCTCAAATTGCCATAAAGGAAAGATGATTGAATTTTTTTGTCAATTCGGACTATTTGGCGTATCATCGATTCAGACTATCAAGCCTTATCACGGCTTCGGATTATTTGATTTTATCATCGATTTTGAGTAACCGTCAGAATTTTCAACTTTTCAACGGATCTTCGGACAATTGAGCATTTTATGGACAATATGCATCCGCGATATTTCTCGCAAAATGATTGTAAGTGATGTACTTCAAATCGTTCTTAAGTAAAGTGCCTTTCTCATGCCCAGAAATGTTTGTATTATTTCCTGAACCAAGCTAAAAATAACAAACCATTTGACATTCAACTTCGCACTGGATCAGGAAATATTAACAGGTTGGTCTTTTCAACATTGTGTGCTTTGCAATAGTTTACACCTTAAATCAACAATTCTAATTTTGACTGGCAACGTAAGGCTTTGTACTTTTTTCTCGTCTTGAGCTGCACTGTCATGAAAGCACCCGTATCCCGTCGCATTGCAACCTTCCTATCAGGACTGGTTACCTACTTTAGACCAAGTAGCCCACCATACTTTTCACATAGGCCTAGTATCTTTGCGAAACTGGTCAATTAGCCTTCGAACCCACTATGATAAGATTCGAGTCTGATCATATGTAATTATCATGTCTGACTAACTTATTTTGTGTTCTACCAATATTTACAGTGGAATTTCTTCGTCTTCTCGCTCAATGCATAGAATTTTAGAACTTTTCTCAAAATGACAAAAACATTGAAACTGTTTACAGGATACACGAACTGGACATGGGATTATCAATAGGGTCGGCATTTTTAAATTTCCTTAAAATAGTTAACACCTTATTCTATTGAAGTCATGCCTGTCTGCGCCTTCCACAGAAAATCAAAATGATGAGACATGGGAGGTTAAACAGCGTCTGGTGTTCTAGCACGGAACGTTGAGACTGCACCGTGACTACTTCAGTGTCGGTTTCAACAATATTTCATCAGAGCAAAGCGAGCCGCCCGGAAAGTAGTTTTGGGCCGAGACGGCAGAACTCGACAGCGGACTCGATCGAGCATATGCCGTACACTCCGATTTCTATTGCGCCCTCTCGTGACTTTATTTCACCAATCAACGGCTCGTTGGCCCAAGACTACTTGGAAAGAGGACCGGATCCTCAAAATACGGTTATCATTTGAAGATGCTCTACGACTTTCTCTTTTACCAATTTGAACATTTAGTGACATTTCACTTCGAATGTGATTGAACGTATTTTCCTGGAGTTCAAACCCTGGATGTCTCTTTGAAGGCTGTTTCATATTTGAGTACAAAAAGGTGATAAATCTTTGAACCGTCAACAACAAAACCTTCCCTGCAGGAATCGAGTTCGATCTGCACGTGCGATCATTTCTCATGGATTTTTATTTTCAATACATGATCTTCTGCATGTGTGACATGTTTCTGTGCCATACTATTCATTGGCCCTGTATTTTATCTCCGCTTTTAAGTTCAAAACAACAAAACAATTGTTTAACAAGTTGTAAAACCTTCCAACTGCAATGATTATGGATCCAGAAACAAAGAACTGAGGCTTCACTTCTTTTCTTGTTAATACAGTCAATTTCGAGACAATTTGAAGCCTTACTTGTAAAGCACAAATATTTCATTTTTTCAGCAACGTCTCACTTCAATAAATTCCTATAGCAAAATAAAAGCCAAAATTATGCCACTCAACTCACGCACTGCAGTTACAAATCAAAAGTGCATGGAACGATGTACGCATGCATGTACGAACCAGAAACGTTTCAAATTGTAGAATAAAAAACTTAAACTGAACATTCCTTTCCTCATTTTGATTTGACACCCTCATCACTTTATGTTAACCGCATCGTTTATTTCACAAAACCAAGTAATGTGACCACACAATTATATTTACACCAACAAAAAAGCTACAACCCGATTCAATAACCAAATTCACAAACCCGATTCACAAAACCAAGTAATGTGACCACACAATTATATTTACACCAACAAAAAAGCTACAACCCGATTCAATAACCTGCATTCAGTCGAACATGTCGAGCCATGTCCACTACAAACATCGCTCTTATAAATTGTTTGGAGACACTTTTTTCCTGGTATTTCATTATTGATTGTAGAAGCACCAAAAACCGATTACGGACAAATTGGCAAAAGGAAACAGCGATGACCTTTATGCATAAACGTACGACTTATTGTTGCAGTTTAAGTGCCTGATGAGAAATTAAATAACCTGCTTACAGCTTACAGAACAGGCATGCGTTTGTGTCGGGGTTTGTTAACACGAGCTTACTTCCGAGTGCACGAACGGCCGGAGTGAGACTAGAGGGTAAGCGAGATGTTTCACTTCGTCATAGCAGGAGTAAATAGATTTGAAGAGTACATTGTGTCACAGATTTAAAATGTCCAACCCGAGTCGGTAATTTTTGGCGTCTCTGTTCGACTCAAGTCCCGAGCAAATGACTCGACTCGAGTCCCTCGTCAGAAGACCCGACTTGAGTGAAAGTTATAATGAGACTCGAGTCGCAAAATAAAAGCAAACTTATTTGCAAAGAAAATTGCAACGACTTACAGTGCTGGTATATAATGTTCGTGTCATGTGTTATTATCATCGGGAGTGAGAGGTGGTGTGACCGCAGATCTTAATTTAAAAAAATATGTAGTGACAAAAATGACTTCCGGGTTGTTTTTGTTTTAACAAGAAACGAGACTTTTGCAAAAAAATGACCTCAGGCTATATAGAACGCACCAAAATGTGCCTTTTCCTTAAAAATATAAGGGCCTACTTTGGGGCTACAAATTTGGGCAGTAAATGTAATAATCTTTCAAAATTGATATTTTCCAACAGGAAAGAACTTGGAAAAAGATATAGAAAATAATACTCTATAGGAGAACCAAGAACTACAACAATACTTATCCTTTTCCGTACCCACTACTACGTTGCACATGTCAGATCGACGAATAGTTTCCCCCTCTGTTCTACCAGTAATGTGCTGAAACTGCTACGTAATTTATGTAGCACCATTCTTATCAGGGACATTTTCGTTAAAGCCATAATAAGTGGTTGACAGCGGCGGGTAGTCAGATATGGTGGCATGCTACTCAAGCTGCCGGTCATGAATTATGCACTAGTCTTTTTTCAAGCAGCATGCGTGCTTCGTGGAGACGTAAATCATAGTTAGGTTCGCAGTGATCGCCTGGAAGGAGGGAAAAAGTTCATGACTGCACAAAACTCACGGCACTGGTATAGGCGGTCAGACGAGCATACCCACCACAAGCTCCGAAAGGAAGGCCTTTCTTTGTGCAGTCTATAGAGTTCAGCCATGCCAACGAGAAAAGCTGCACTGCGAAAGTCAAAAACAGTATTAATTAACTGAGTCCAGTTTACCATTTTACCCAGTGTTTAATTAACACACCTCGAAAGTAAAGTTATATAAATGTCTGGTTAGTTATCATAAGTTCTAAGGAGGTCTACCGAAACTTAAACTCTTGTCCTGCTGATGGACGCCACCTAAAACCAAATAATTTCAAAGTACTCAAAGCGAGCCACCAATTCAATGTTAATAGTCTTCTACTTCTGTGAGGTTGGTACGAAAAGTAATACATTTTGAAGGGAAAAATAAATCCCTGGACTTATTACCCCTCTGCAAATCAGTATAAAGTTACACGAACTCCCCCTCCCCACAATTTCCAGTGAAACAGGCATTCCTCCATAAACTGGTCACTGGTCCCTGCTTTCATATCAAATTTGACAAAATCATCTAAGTCCCAACGAGTCTTTTTGAGCATACAATAACTAATGTCACTGACCCCCTTTACAAAAACTTGACTCCTTGTTTTGTTTACTTAACAAGCTTCTACAAAACCAACTTTACATATATTTCATATTGAAAACTGTACACTGACAGCTCATGTTATTTGAGTTATATAACATCCTCTCCCTACTGCCTCCCCTCTCCCAACTGTTACTCTACTAAAAAGTGTTACTCATTTGTAACAAAGTTCTTAATTTTTTTACGTATTTTTCTCCTTCTCTGGCGTTTACAATTTTCTAGTCAAGCAAACATCGCTCGATTTTGGTTCCCACGTCCAAATGAAATGAGACTAATTGAAGTTTCCTTCACCAAATTCTTCTCGACTTCAGCATGAAAGTCTCTAATTTACTCAATCTCAAATTTAACAATTATAAGTCCCTACAAATTTCTCTGAGCATTAAAAAGCCAACGTTACTGAGCCCCTCTTAACAATTTGACTCCTCATTTGTTTTCTACAATTCAACATTTTAATATTTCTCATTGAAGAATTGTCTACTGAAAGCTTGCAAAATTAAACAAAAATTATTTTGTCCCTATTACCCCTTAAGCGCCTAGAGTCTTCATTTCTTATTGATGTCTTTTTCCGTCATTCTGGAAACATTTTGGACATTTCTTCTTCGTGTATTATTAAAGCCAACTCCACAAACGCCTTAAATCTTACGCAGTCGTCAGAACATTCTCGACTCTTATTTCTTCCGGCATAGACAGCCAACGCCTCCAGCTCCCTTTTTAAATATGGATTTTCAATTACGTGTATATCGTCCAGGTGCATTTTCGTGGTTATTTTCCGTTTTGTACTCTCTCTACATAATGCTCCTTTTCTGTATAAAAACTTTCTTTCCTACTCGTTAATTTCCGATAATTGTGGTGTACTTATTGCTTGTACTTTGATTGCCTAGTTTGCAATTTTGTCCCTGTCACGTCAGTATAAAATCTCCATTTCTTCTACTGACTTTCGTATAAGCATAAAGATGATTACTGAAATTTGTTTAGGCAATACTAAATTCAGCCCACTAAATCAGTTGCAAAATTGTAGTATACATGCGGTTATTAAGCAATCTTTTTACCATACTGGCTATGTCTTAAGAACTTTAAAACTCTATGCACCAACTGCTTGTAACTTGATTCTTTTCCTTCACATAATTCTACTACCTTCACATTATTCTCAAAATTAGAATACTGTCACTTTGCCTGTGTAGCATCGTTTCGAAAAGTTGCATATTAAAGAATGACACATTATACATTTATTCTGGTGATGTTTATATCACATCGGCCCTAACATTTTTTTTTTAATGTTAGCAAGAATATTCGAAAGCACTTTAGCACTCGGCGGTTAAATTCTAAAATTCCTCTACAAAAAGAAACGCATCAGTGACGGAAATTATAGGGTTTTTTTAATTCAACATTTACGCTTAACCACACGTCACCGATTGGCGAAGTAATCAGAGCCACCGCAACCAATCAAATATACCTAAGTCGTTTGCAAATTCTAAGTGACTTCTAAAAATCCACGCAGCAAATATACACACGCAAAACCTTACATACACACACCGGCCTACCTGCAGTGTGGGGAAGAAAGTCAATTTGTTCTCCTTTGGTCTTATTGAAACCAGGCCTCCATAGGATATTCCCTACCAGAAAAGTCAATTTATAAAGATTCCCTCACGGGGTCTGTTGGCCTATTGGTTTCTATCCCATGAGGAACCCTTTAAGGGTATACACACAATTCATACTCCTCTACTAAAACATTTACTCCTAGAAACTGGTTGTTATCAATCAAGCTAACTCAAGACACTGAGCTAACTGTGAGTGAGTCCGCATTAACTGTCATGATTTATACTTGGACTCACGGAAAGCAGTCCTTCACATAATAGAAGGTGTTCCAAAAACAAAATTTCCACAGGCAACAGCATGAATCAGGCAACTTAACTACATTCCTGTGGATCCTGATTGGTAAATTTGTACACGAGGAGCATTTATTTAGTCGCAACTGCATGGTCAAGCAAATCAAACTTGATGTCAAGTTCAGCCTGATTGTATGCTGAACTTATTTTAATTAAAGGAATTATAAGACTATTTTCTCATGAGGAAGACTGCTGGTAGGGGTTCAGAGAAATGCGTACAGCGTTCATTTGGACACAGGCTTTAACAATCGTTCTGCAAAGGTGTAAAGAAAACGCGGCGCTGGTGATGCTCTTGATGTGCAGGGAACATGGCCACGTAGTGCTCTGTCCAGCCCCCCGTGCGCACGCGGACCAAGTCGTAGCGCTCAGGCTCTTCCACAGCCCTCTGATATGTCTCCAGATCGGCGCATGTGACTGTGAAATAATAAATAGTAACGATTGCTGAAAAGCAGTATTCGGTCCGGGTGAGTATGGCCAAGTAGCCTGCTTTGCTATTTTTCAGTGCAAGCGTGTTAATATAACATTTCACAACAGTAATTGCTGGGGGGGGGGTAACAGCGAATGGTTGCAGTTCATGCCCAGTTTGAGAACGACGAATACAATCTGGTCCAACCTTGAAAAGGAAAAACGGAGTGATACTTATGACTTTAAGTTTTTCAAACTAAATCTAAGAACGTCGGTTAGCCGCTGCAGCAGAGCACCAGGCTAGGTTTCTCTGGATGAAATAGAGGGAGGATAAGTTTCAAGGGTTAGGCTTGAACTTCGAAAAGTTACTGTACCTGTGATCATGTTGGAGCCAATATGCTTTGTGCCATTTGCATAGTGGCGTATGAACTCGTAAAGTTCGGTTTCTGGGAAATCCTCCGTCACGTTCATGTCAACCGGTGATCCGTTGGACAAACCGGTGTTGATGGAATCATGATCAAAGCTACTCATGGCCCTGCAGTGAACAAGAAAAACGAAACGAGCTTTCACTACACATAATTTATAAAAAAAAAAAAACAACGGCATTTCGTCGGTGTTATTTGTGCGGGTGAATGGGAAAACGGGTTGCCACATAAAAAGACAGCTTTTAAACAAATATTGGTGTGGACCGGATCTTGCTAAACTAATGCACGTTTAGTAGGAACCTTTCATTGCTAAGAAACTATCCATAATATCAACTTTAAATAAACAAGACACTCACCTGTAGATGTTGACGGAAGCTGGCTGTGCGGTTTTGTCCTGGGGTGCAGGTGCCGGACTAAGATCCGATGCGAACGGCTGCCGACTGCGGCGCCCATCAGCGGAGGCCCCAGTGCCCAAGGCTTCCGGAACGTACCCCTCGAACGTCCCAACACCGGGTTCAACGATGAAACCAAACGGGCGCTCTTTTAAATCAAAACAAAGCAACTTATATAGATTTTATTTCTGAGGAGGTAGTCAGTATGAAATACTTTCCTAGAAATATGAATAGCTGCGGACATAGATTAGGCAAAGCTAATTACCTGGTAATGAATATTTCTTTTTGATATCAGCGATGATCTCACGGAGTACGGGCGGTGGGTTATAAATCGTATCTTTAGCCAAAGATACCACTTTGTCCATCAGCCAGTTTCCTATCCGGTCCACCTCGGAATTCCCATGTCCAAATTTTGGCAAACTAAGAGCCTTCTTTCTCAGCGTCTTGTATGTAGCTGCGTTCGCATCCTCCCGTACGTCCCCGGCGCGCTCATCAAAAAGTGGTTCCCTCATGTCAAATCCCCAGTCCTGTTTTAGTGCTGTCAACAGTTTGGGCAAAGTCGTGAGGGCTTCATCTGGGTCGAACACGAGCTTTTTAATGGCATACAGTGAATCAATCGTGTTAGCCGCACTGACGTACATCATGGCCAATGTGTGGAAGTTGGACCCTCCGTTGGAAAGATCACGACCGCTTTCTTTGCAGCCGTGGATGAGGGATGACAGGAGTGGCGAAGGGCAGATTTCCCACAGGTTTCCATAATTCGACAGGATCGTGATGTAAAACTGAATTGTTTGAAGTCGCAGGTGTTTTAGGAAGATTTCCTGCAGCTGGTGGAACGTCTTGATTTGGCTGCAGTGAGGCGAGGGATAGGAGACTTTGAGCCCTCGAAGATACACCGATCCTGAGTCGGCATAAAGCGTTCCCTCGTTAAGAGTCATTTCCAAAATGTTCAGCAGAATTATCGTGCCAAACGCGAACTCGGTCTCGCCAGCAATCATTGGCTCGTAGCATCCGTCGCACGCATAGTTACGTGCTGCTTTAAGGCTAACGGGTGCATCAGGGGAGCCACTTTTTATCAGACTCGATACCAGCCGATCATCGTGTATGAGGACTGGATGTGCACCCCCACTAAGAAGCGCCCTTGCTGTTTCCTTTAGTATCTCGTTCGGCATGTTCTTGTGCAGCCTGAGACTCAAGCATGGGGCATTCGTGGGAATTCTGCGAGACGACTTCAGACACAATAGAGTAATTTTGTTGCAGGCTGTCATTGAAGTGTCGTCATCATTTGCCTGGTAACCGCCCACGGTTATCTGTTGGACCCACTGGTTGACCGCACTCCCTTGACCATAGTTACCTGCTGCCGCGTACATCACCGCTGTGGAACCGCGATCATGCATGTCCGGTGTGAAGTGGCGGTTGATGACCACACGCTCACTCAACTTTATCCACAGGCAGTCCAAGATTTCTTGAGCTTCAGCTTCAGATGTTATTTTTTCGTCATAGAACCGCCTCAGCAGGACGTCTAGACGGCCTATGGCAACTGGGTTACCAATCAGATGCATAGAACAATGCATGAAGAAGAGAAGCTGCACTGCTTCAAGCATATTGCTGGGAGCGTCGGTCTTCAGTTTCAACAGCCTCGAGTAGATGCTTCTAAGGCTTTCTTTTTCTTCATCCGTATATTTCTCTGCTTGTACTATCATCTCTTTAGCCAGGTGTGCAAAGCTGTCTATGTACTCTTGAACTCCTTCCAGTGCCAGGGTGACCGACTTGTAGAAATCCTTCTTTTCGGGGGGTGCGCGGCTGTGTAATATTTTGTAGTTTTCCTTCAAGGCTTTGAGGCCTACTTCTAACACTATTCCGTGGTCAGGAACAATGTGACCCATGGCACCTCCCTCATTCAGTCCCTTCATAAACCATGGAATCTCCTCTTCTTCTTCTCGAATATAGGGCATTACATACTTGCCGATACCAAGAGAGAATCTGGGCATAACACCGACAATTAGTTCATTCGGGTAAATACGGAAGAGGTCATTGTCTGTGCCATATGGTGTTTTCGGTATCAAAGTACCCAGTGTCTTCTTGATTGCCATGCCTTTGCGAATGGCTGCGGATTCCTTCAGTAATGGCATCTCTGCTTCCGTCAAATAGTTGCTCAGATGGGGAATGCGGGACGTTTCTGGCTTGTGATACCACTGGTCACCCCACTCAGAGAAAACCACGGACAAGAGCTTGATGACACGAGGCGTTGGTGGATCTCCAGGACCATACCCACCGAAGCTCATGCGGTGGAGATATTCATGGAAGTTGTAAAACATGTAGGGGTTGGTGCTTTTCACATCCCAGAAAGGCAGGAAGTCAAGGGTCGGGACCAGGCCTACGTCCGGTTCGTCGGTAAAGCCGAGCTGACGCAAACTTGGTGTATACCAGAAACTTCCCTCGATGCCCTGACTCAGTGAAAGGAGTTTATCTTGTGTGAAATAGGGGTCGTCTCCTGCCAGGCTTTGCATAAGATCGAGAAATAGCTGAATGTCATTAGCGAAAGCATTGAAGTAGATTCCTTCCTGATCTGCATCGTTACCGTAGGGCATGCTCCCACGAAGGATTTTCAAATGAATATTACGGTCATTCAAACGTGCTCGACGGATGTGACTTCTTGGATCGTCACCGATGACGATGTTATCTGTCACCTTTCTGCCTATGACGTTCTCCTGCTCGCGGATGGTCATTGCTTGAAATAGGCCGAAGTTCATCAGAAATTTTTGCGTGTAGCAGTAACTGCCACCCCCGGATCCTGGTGTGGATGTCTGTGGTGTTAGGATGAAACGTTCGACAGTATTCTTGTCGACTGGATTGGCAATGCCGTCTCGAAACTTCCCGTGGATGGCACGATCATTATAAACACGGGTTTCAGTGACATCAAATGTAGCCAGACCACTTAGGCTTATTTCCACTTCTTGCAAAAGCTCTGGTACGACACCGTCGGTGTCAGACTTTAACAAGAAGAGCACATCGCCACCTGTGTTGACGAACTTGCGGGACGAAGACACCATGTAATCGCTAGACGGTCTGTCTTCAATGTCATTTTTCGGGTTCCATTTTTTCCACAAGCCTGGGTCAAAAGAGACGACATAACCGTTTCGTCCTTGCAACAGGTCGGACTTTTGCTGAACGGCTTGTATGGCATGGAGAACGCCCCTTCTACTGTTCTCGTCTTTGTTATTCAAATTAACAACCACTGTACAACCATACTTTGGCCTCGTATAGAAAATACCCGGTTGGGCCAGAAAATATGTTGAAACTATATCCCCAGCTGGTTCAACAGGGCTTCTTTGCCGATGATGTATCTGAAATGGAAACGGATACAAATATATGGCTGTGGTACATGGATTCAATAGGGTGGGCAGGTTAACTACGTTAATCTTTGAGATCGTCAGTGTATGGTGTACTTTGTAGATTTTAATTGAAATGTTTGATGATACCAAAACACATTGCACAATTGTTACATTAGCTGCAATACCCAGTGGCCTTACTGAGGGAGGCACGGTTGCACGTCCACCCCCCCCCCAGTGGATGAATGGGTACCCCCACCCCAGATACCCCGAGCCGATTCAAACTTTCCGTTGAGTTTATGTAACTGTGCAGTTGTAGCTTACTGTCTTGCGGTGCCCACAGTCTTGAAAAAAATATGTGCATCACTCGTGCCCTCACACGTCTGAGTTCACGATTGTCCACACTTGTTTTGGCACCAAACTGCTACCAGCAAACTACTCTTATAGTAGTTGGTATTAAACGACGAATCACTAGTGTTTAAAATAACAACACTTCACCTGAAAATTCTATATTTTGATTGTGTGCAAAATCCCTACCTGTGAGTACGTCGGATGCATTCCAAAGTGCTTATGCTCCGGAGATTAGTTGAACATTTCGTAATAGATTGAGTAGTTTGGATTGAATTTCTTGTTCGAATATAGACACCCTTTTCATTTGTATTTTCTATATTTATTAGGCAAAATCTGAGAAAAAGTTGTTTAAAAAATAAATACCGACTGTTTTCTTTAAGCCTTCCTCGGTGATCCGTGAAACACTCTACATGTATATTCTGTCGACAAGATCACGCAGAAGGTCGAAACTAATGAATATTCATTTTGAGTGGTCGTCGAATAAGCCGTCATAAGGCAAAAATCGACATTCCGTAGTGTGTCCAGACATACCTTTTGTCGTTTTGCTTTCAGCTCCATCTTGAATTACCGGTAGTGTGTAATCGTCTATCTACAGAAAACAAAGCAAAACAAGTATACAGTGATGCTGGGTTCTTAGAATATTTCGTATAACTGCAGAAATTTCTTTTCCGACCACCTTAAGATGATTATGTACGAAGCGCTGGAAGTACCATCCGACTTGTTGACAACTGATATGTAATTTTTCTCGGGACGACAACATCATTCAGACATCAGTATTACCCTATCACACAGGCAAGAAGTCGACAACCTTAATTAATAATTACTCCTTAATAAAGGTTGTCGATAGTAAAAGTTTATCATGGGATTGCGACGTCATAAAAGTCATCCTGTGAGAAATTGTCATGGTTGAGGACGCCGTACAGTTGAATGAACATATCCTGCGATTATTTATCACGGGATGACGATATCCTTTAAGTGGAATAATGACATTATTTGTCAAATGTCAATGGCTTCATTGACAAGCTACCTTGAAAACGCATACGCTTGAGGTGCTCAAACTCAGACTTAATAATTGTTTTAACGAATCTTTACATTTAATCTTTGTTGAGATCTCAGTTCCCAAAGCCATAAACATTATTGTAGGTGTATGTACAAACCCCCTGATACCATGGCCTGCATGACATGGTAAATCTCGGGAAGGAGGGGCTTTCGATTTGTTTTAGATTAGGATTGGAGAAGGCAGCTATATTGTAGAAAAACGTTATTCATGATAACAATTAACTTGGTGAACAGACATATGGACGGGTCTACTGCCATACAACTGACTGCTGCAATGAAAACCGTTGGAATTGGCGGTTCAAAATACGATGCTACAGGAAAAACAATATTTTGAAAAATCCTGTTCGCTGATAATATAAAAGAGTCATTCTTTGTGTTGCTTGTATTGTTATGGAGGCTTAGACGCATAATTTAGAGAGAAGAAGAGAACTAAAAATCTAACTCAATAGATGTAAACTCGGCTTCCAAAATAATTCAGTAAATGATGACTACAGAAAAATGTTGTGACAAAGTCAACGCTCTGAAGTCAACTGGGACAAATAATAGGTACTGGCTTACTAATATGCCCATTATGGCTTGCAAAGTTAACATTTAATCAAGTTAAAGTTTATTCACAGAATAAAGACATCTCTATTATTAATAAAGACATCTCTATTAGGAAGTTAACATTTAGTCCGAGTGCACAGATATCTCTATTCACAGAGATATCTGTATACGCAGATTAAATGTCAACTTTGCACGCCGTAGACTATACATGAACGAGTGGCATTAAAAGTACCACTTCTGGTATTACATAAGTGTATAAGAGCACCACAACAGTATTACAGGGAACTTGTCCAGTTCTACCCAGCCCCGCTCTTATTCATTGGTGTTTGTTGGTGCTGTGCAATAGAGGGAGTTCACATTAACGCCGCCTGCGCATATCAACATCAAAACCGGGGCTTTCTGTGTTGGACTTTGTCGAGCGCGCCCGCGGAGTCGACACAGTACATGGAGTATCCGGTTCGTAAGTTTGACGACACTTCAGTTTTACCACGCCCACTGCACATGCAGATATACGTCCATCGCAGGCACGTTAGTTCGCGGTAAATTGCCATTATTTTTTCTTTCGATTTTTAGTGTCGAGTCATCCTGAAAGACTCTTCCACAAAAATCTGCAGCCTGAAAAATCTGAATTTTACATACCTTTATGTGTTTTCTGTCTTGACTCCTTTACTTTCAATCGTATGATCGTATTAAGAATTGAAGTTGACACATACAGCCTCGTTTTCAAACGCGGAAGTGCGTAGATCGACGCTAAAAACGTCGTATTGGGATCCCTCTATCGACGCTCAACAAGTTTCAGGCTTGCCATCAAAAACAGCGCTAAAACCGGGTACGAAAACGCGATTGAGATTGGAAGGGCCTACCTATCTCATCTATTACAAGTAGCGTGCATGTTAACGCTGTGAGATAGATGTTTCTGGTCCCACCATCAAACACTTGACTCAGCACAACTTCCTGTGCTATTTTGACCCATCTCTTCTGAGTAAGTTTACCAGTGATTTCCAGATCGGAGGATTTTGGTGTTCTTTAAAAGAGTTGTATAATCAGGAATACCAATAAAAATTTTAAATTCCACCAGTAAAAGTATTATGATACAACCACGGGAAGTAAAAAATTCGAAACCTTGATTTCACAAGAAACAAATTAAGACAGATAAACGCTCAGTTTTTCTTTCGTGGAAATTGAGCATACTTGGCCTACAGCTAAATAAGATATATTAATAGCATTTGATTGCCAATTATGAGCTAGAACGTATTTTTGTATTCGTGCTTTGCAGTTGTGATGTTTGCATCAAAAAGCCCTGATGCTGAAATAACAATAAGATTTTGGTGTTGACATTTATGTGTAATTTCGGCCCAAACTGACATATTTTCTTACCAACTCTAGTTTCCAAATGATGTAATGGTCAATAACTATTTTTTTATTTTAAGTTTATTTAACTATCGTAAATGACTCCGGGTTAACAAAGGGAAGTCATACTCATTATTTATGTAAAACTGTTAGTAGAGATATTTGTGCCATCAGTAATTGTACTCAACTTACGTATTATTAGAAAATTACCCCATTTATATGAACGTGCTCTCAATATGCCAATCATCGAATTTAATGCGCGTTTAATAATTACTATGTATTCTAAACACACGTGCTTGAAAATAAAGGGCATTTATTGTCATCAACTTGGTTGCGTGATGGATCAATCTATCCCAGTCTCCCATATGCTGCCTTCATATTAATTCATGTTTCGTTCGGAATTTCGAATGACATAAATACTCCTTTTAGCTGACAAGCCCTTCAATTAAACCTTCTTTTAACTCCACTACCTTTGCCCAACAAAATCTATTGTAAGGAACAAAAGCTAAGGAATTCTTTTGGCACTTCCTTAAGGAAATCTACATATTTATGAAATTCCAAATAAGACTAAACTCAACTTTACTGAATGGTTTCTGATTCATGAAATCAGTAAGCTTATAGACTACACAATTTACGTGTTGACAAATGTTCTGTTCATTGCTACAGTTCGTTCATATTGCGTACTTAGGGTGTATCACTGTATGTAACGTTTCCAATTTTCAGTATTTGCTTTGAGCCTTTTCTTATACTTGATGATTGCAATTACCATATAACATGCCAGGAAAGACAGGCTAAGATTTTTTTTAACACTGATCACATATAGTGTGGCTGAGGTCGAAAGACACCAAAAAGTCCTCTCTTGTCAAGGACGTAGGGGAAGCACTAACATGGGTCAATATAAGACTAGTCACTCTGCGATTTGGTAGACAGCAAACAAACAGAGCTGCAGTCCTGGACAAAAATAGTTGGAACACCTTGTTGGAAGCGCATTGAAAAATGCCCCCTCTCCCCCGATCAATGTTGCGGTCATTTATTGGACCAAGATTCGGCCCAACTTACCTAATGAGAAACAACATTTACAGGGGGCGAGGGGGGAGCCATGTTCCAAGGAGATGTTTAAATACGTATACGTAGACGTTTGGCTAAACTTCTACTGAGTAGATGCATCGTGGAAATCCAACTAATTTGATACGTTACGTAAGACAAGACAGACGAGAAACCAAATCTCATCCACCGACATTTTGTGTGGCAGTGTTGCACTTTGAAGTAAAAGAGTACTTAGTGCGATAGTATGGGACGAAAATAGGAAACGAAGAAAAACAACTACTCTGGTGTATAAACTGATCCGTAGTAGTTTTGTTTTATTTCCTAAACACAAAGAAATGGAAACTGTGGGCCTACGTGTTATCTCCCACTTCAACGTTCACGAATAGTGCAGAAAAAGCAATAATTATATCACATATTCCAACAGGGAATGTTTCAAAGGCAGATTGAAACTCGATTGTGCGTTTAAACGTGTCATTAGAGGAGAGGTTCTTAACAATCCAAGTCGTCAAAAAGTCAATGGAAACGAATTCTTTCCATCCAAGAAATACTTGATTCAGAAGGAAACGACTTTATGCCCAGAACTAACGAATTATTGGAAAAAATGATCATTTATCTTATAAATCGAAAAAGGGGAAGGAAACTGTACACGTTTATTCAACTAAACATGTCAGTGTGTTTAAATTAAGGAAGCGTTTAGATATAAACATTTTGGCACATTTACATGCTGCAACAGTTTATAAACATTTTAACACGTTTATAAGTTATAAGTGTTTAAGAACTCAAATGTGTTTAATTATTCATAATAACAATACGCCTCTGCCTTTAGGACTCCTTTTTAAATAGGGTCCAACAGTCGACATAAAACAACAGTAAAGCACCGGCACGACCATTCCCACCAGGAAACTACAAGCTGCCTTGAAAAAACCTTCAAACTGCACTTGTATTATTATTTCAAAGACCTTTGGTTGTCATTTCGGCTGTCATTTGTCTGTTGCCATGCACAAGTTTAAAATACGGGAATCTTTATAGCGGGTATCAATTCGGTTCGGAAGTGTGACGTCACCTTAGTTTAAACCACGCCCACTGCACGTGCACTGCACATAGAGTTACATGTATTGATCGTTGTTTACTGGAACTTTGGAAAAAATTCAACTTTTCCAGACTTAATTTCTTACAAACATTGATGCAAACAGTGGTGGCTACATACCTGTACTTGAATAAATCAAAGAAATGAATTATGAGTCTGTCGACCATATTATGATTCCATAAATTTAAGGTTTTTCTTTTTTTGTTTCAGTGTTATTGGGCATACCATTTTTTAAATAGTAATCGCAACATCACACTGACCTCCGTCCTTGTCATCGACACTTGTTTTGAGCTCTTTAGTCTGATCTTTAATCACAGTACTTCTGAAAATTTATATAAGGTAAACGCAGTGTTGAGGGAATCTGAACATGTTCTAACCACCAGTGTTTAGAAAACACATATTTGTGTTTAATGTTGTGAATCACGTAAACACATTTTTAAACGCGTCAAGTGTTCTGGGGCTGTACAGTGATATACACAGTGTGTGCGGTACCGTACTGTTCG